TCGAACTTAAATGTCAACAACAAAGGGGCAAGTATGTGAGGTGTTGAATATGTTAATTAACTCAGTGGAAAGGAGAATCAAATCCTATACTTTATACCCTTTAAACATCTTATAACCTTTTTTTTTTTTTTACTTATTTTCATTTTACATCATGCAATTTTGATGGTCTCAATGAAAAAAAAATAACCTCTTCCTCTTCTTACTATTCACTGTTTATGACACTTGATATGTTCAGGTTGGTGTTTGTGTAGGAAAAAACTTGGTTCTTGGCAACATCTTCTAAAAAGCAGAATTGAGAAGCTATTGGGGTGTTTAAGTACTATTTATGCCAAAGGGTTAATACATAAGTAGTAAATGGTGGATAGTAAGTCCCTCAGCAACCTGCCTCAGTTTTAACTTTTTTTTTTGGCTTTCTCAAAGTTTTGTAGGTACCATCTCTTTGAGGACCAATCACCAGACCAGACTTTCTAAAAGTGGTTATTGGTATAACAGGGTGTCTGGTCCCTAGACATGCCATAGTTCCCTATCACTTGAAACAGCTGGTGTAGAATAAAAACCACCCTGTCTTTCATAGTGTTCCTGACGAGATTAAGAAGGGTTGAGGTAATGGTAAGGGAGGGGTTTTGTTTTCCAAGCTGGACTCCTCCTGTCAGAACTAGGTAGCCAGTGTGTGAAATTTTTCAAGCTGTTCAAGCTGCAGTGGAATTATGTGTGTGTGTATGCCCCCCCAGCCCACTTCCCCCCTCCCCAACATATCACATGATAAAGCTATTGGCCTAGAACCAAAGTTAGAGTCTGAGTTTCCACTGTACAAAGATCTAAAATGTCTACTTATTATTAGTGTAATTCTTTTTTTTCAGTGTAACATCTGAACGAGAGAAGTGAAAATACCATACCATAAAACCTTGAAGTCAGAAGAGAATTTTAACCTTTCCCCTTCATTTTCTCAATATATATACATAAAAGATGAAATAAATAAAATACACACTCGTAAACGTATACATGTGCTTATACATGGAGTGCCTGGGTGGCTCAATTGGTTGAGCGTCTAACTTCGGCTAGGGTTATGGTCTTGCAGTTTAGGGGTTTGAGCCCCATGTGGGGCTCTGTGCTGACAGCTCGGAGTCTGGAGCCTGCTTTGGATTCTGTGCCTCCCTCTCTCTCTGCCCCTCTTCTGCTTGCTCTCTCTCTCTCTCACTCTCAAAAATAAATACGCATTAAAAAAAACACATATACTTATGGTTATACATAAATTGTAGCTGAGGAATCTTTTAACAAGGATGCTGCTAACATTTGTTTGGATATACTGGGATAGTGTTCATGATGACTAGTCCCTGAAAGAATGGACATTTTTGATTTGGCCAAAATATTTTTTGCGGGGGTCAGATGCCTGGCCGGCTCAGTCAGTAGTGCATAGGACTCTTGATCTCACGCTTGTGAGTTCAAGCCCCACATTGGCTGTTGAGTTTACTTTAAAAAAGAAACAAAATCTTTTTAAAAATCGAAAACTTTTGGGCACGTTAGGTTCTAAAGACTTTGTGGCAATAAACGGAGAAACCTGCTCTTGTGTTGCTATTACCATGTCTGTGATATGGTTTTGAACCCCTTGGGGTGTCTAGTAAGCAGACGTGTCAACTAAAATGGCTGCTGTGAAGTTTGCATTTATTGGGTTATACATATTTTATCTTCAGAATAGTTTTTAGGAGGCTCCTGGGTGGCTTAATTGGGTAAGCATCCAAGTCTTTTTTTTTTTTTAATATGAAATTTATTGTCAGATTGGTTTCCATACAACACCCAGTGCTCATCCCAACAGGTGCCCTCCTCAATACCCATCACCCCCCCTCCCCTCCCTCCCACCCCCCATCAACCCTCAGTTTGTTCTCAGTTTTTAAGAGTCTCTTATGGTTTGCCTCCTTCCCTCTCTTTTTTTTCCTTCCCCTCCCCCATGGTCTTCTGTTAAGCTTCTCAGGATCCACATAAGAGTGAAAACATGGTATCTGTCTTTCTCAAGTCTTGATGTCAGCTCAGCTCATGATCTCATAGTCGTGGAATCGAGGCCCACATTGGGCTTTGCGCTGAGAGTGGAGTCTCTTTAAGATTCTCTCCTTCTGCCTCTCCTCCCTGCTCCCATTCTCTCTCTTTCTTTCTCTCTTTCTAAATAAATAAATAAGTAAATAAATAAAATAAATAATTTTTAAAAGGAAACCATTTTTTATTTGACAGCATATGGAATTTTAAGGTCATTTTCAAATTACTAAATTTTTTAAAATGTTTATGTGTATACTAAAGTGTATTTTGACCATTCTGGAGCTGGAAAATATGATTCTGATGAGCTAATCTCTCTCATTCCTTTTGCTGGGTTGCAAAGTATGAACCACATCAGACGGTGACCATTCAGCTAGACCACAGTCTCCTTTAATGATTCATCCACCCCAACACTCAACGATCCAGACTGTTGGAATCTTTTACTATATATACCTTGACACTTGACCTACCCATTTTTTTTCCAGTTTTACACAGTTTGTAAACCTCCCTAGTCTAATAATAATTCCTAATAGACTTGAACGTTGATATTAACTGACCCCAGACCTAATTTTTGGTAAAGCGAGCAACCCTAACAATTCTCGTAAGTATTTAACATTTCTCGTAAGTATTTTCATCCTTTTGCATATTTTAGGGTATGCATTACTAATCATAATTGAGATTATTATAAAGCTTCATAGTTTATTATGCACTTTCCTACTCATGTTCTCTTTTATCTGGTCCTTCCACAAACATTGTGATAAACAGGGAGATGAGTTGTTCACGGCACTGAGACCAGGAAGGAAGAAATCTGGAAGGAGGACGAAGGAACGCTTGCATGAAATGAAGGCTCAGGCAGACTGGAGGTGAATACTAGAGTGTAGCATAATGTAATGTTGGTGGAATTCACCTGCTGAGCTGTATGAGATCGATATATCCACCTGTTCTGATTCACTAATTTCCATATCCAAAACAAAGCCCTGAAGTTTTGCGGACTTTTATTGCCTGGTTAGATGGACACCGAATCCCACTGTGGTCTGCTAGGTGCATAAATGTGCTACCACACGCTGGGCACATACACAGACCTGTATACATGAAACGTGCTGGTTTCAGCCCTCTTTTGTCTTCCGCTCTTTCCTTCCAGGCCTCCGTACTTTCCTTTCCTGTCTACTCTGTCTCCCGCTGGGTAGGCAGTGGAAAGAGGGGAGCTCAAACACATCTGCGTATAAAGAGCATGGGGATCAAGTTGGCTCACCAAAAGTTGAAGTTTCCTCCGTTCAGGAAGACCTTTGAGAAGTTATTTCTCCATTTTTTTTTTTTTTCTGAGGGCTGCCAAACTTGATTTAAAAGCTGGAGATGTTGTGTTGCATTACAAAAAAAATAATCACAATTACTTGTGAAGTTCCTGACTGAGGGATGAATAGACAAACCTAGTCCCTGAATGTTTAAACTTGCAGAACATCCTTCAGCTGTGATGAGAGGGTCAGGGTCGAGAAATGCAGGCTCAGGTTGGTCTTCTCTTCACAGGGAGCTGGCTGGCAGATGACGTCCTCCTCTGCGTTTCTTGTTTGTCTCTGCTTGTCTCCAGCTTGTAGAGCAAGAAAGCTTAAAAGGCTATTAGGGTTTTGTGGGTCAGATACCCAATGGCAAAAATTTCCCCCATTCCCGATCCCACAAAGCAAACAGCCTCTTTTTGAAATTGGAAACTTTAAAGAAAGATTTATGAACCTTCAGAGTTATGAAACCATCTGGTGCTTTACAGACTGGTTGCTTTGACGGTTCAGAGTTTGGACCGGCCCCCTACCCGTCCTTCTAGAATAGTTCAATTCAGTCTCCACATTGATGCCTGGGAGACGAGTCTTTGAAACGTGTTGAACGACCTGTGAAAATCAGTAGGATTTGGAGGAATGTACCTGTTACTTTTTAAGGGCGTTTTTACTGTTTGGTACGTGCTGCCTTAAGGAGCCCAGTTGGTGAACTCTGAGTTTCCACTCCGCTTTGCTTCTTTGCAGGAGCACTGTGTAATTTTGGTTTTGTTTTGACAGTTGGTGACCTTTGACCCCTCTGAGTAAAATGTTTAGGCTGAGGAGTACTGAAAAGGGCTTTCAGATGGGATATTTCCAACCTCTTTCAAGCTAGAGCAATGTCCCCCGCCCTCAGCACAGCCAATCCTTATATAGAAACGGTTTTCAGCCTCTGTGCGGTGTTCTGGTGGAACACATCAGATCAAAGCCTTGCTTAATATGTTTGAAAAATGCACATCCGCATTGCAGAACAAAAACATGTTATGGAAATCAATAATATCATATTCAGGCAGCTCTAACTTCAAAGTGACTCCTAATGTGTGTTCTCAATTTCAAAAGAAAATGGGGAAAATGAGAACAGGGTGCGTACGCTTTCTCTGCTTAATTCTATTTGTAACTGAGCTGAGATCTCAAATGTCTCTTTCCTGCTTTTTGATGGGTCCCCAAGGACTCTGGGCGTAGGGCAATCTGCTTATTAATTCCCTGCACCTGTGATAATCTTGCACACTTAGGTTACGAGAGTGGCAGACTTTCTTCCACCCCGTGCTTTTGGAACGCAAATTATTTACACGTTATTGGAGGAGTAGCATTTTAGGGGAGAATACAAAATGAGAGACCTAGAGATAATGTGGATCCACCCTTTAGATTCTTTGAGTCCCAGCCAGTGGGTTTCTGTTGGTTGTTTATTTTTCCACAGTTGTTACAACGATGTTGAGGACCCGTTGTAGAGCTGTCTGTCACTCTCCTAGGTACACTATAGTTACACTTTTAAGTATGTAATTGTCTTTAATAATCTTTATATCTTTAGGTTCTATACACTTTGAGGGATAGGGTTGATATTTTTACGTGTCGAACTTGCTTTAGGATAACGTTAGAACACGTAGGCTTATGTGTGCGGTTATGCATGTAAACAGTTTATTCTTTTGATTCTTCCTCGACACCTGTGTCATGCACTGGTCATCTGATTTGGTAGAAGCTAAGTATTAACCATAGTGTGATGGAAGGACTGTGTAAAATCAGCTCTCCCGCCATCTTATTTTCCCCTCTGTGTTCTTTCCTAAAATGGTGATGGGAAACTGTAATGTTGGGGAGGATCATGTCAAAGATGTGCCACTCACACCCAGAGCCCCAGGGATCGAATCGTGAGACTGATCTGTTTCATAACTTTGCCCGAACCCGCCCAGAGGTTAGACAGGCCAACCGTGTTCCTTCCATTGCAATCGCCCTTGCTTTGCTTCTCAGTCTCTGCTAAGTCTGCTTGTTGGGAATCTCTTCCAGCACAGTGTTAACATGTCAAAGTTCATATGACAGACTGAGACGAATACTCTTTGAATTGTGGGCTCCAAGTCATACTACACGGTCGTTTGTTCAGAGAATGGTGGAGATTCGTCTGCATCAATTCTGGACCTGACTCGCTTGTGACCAGATCTCAGTTACCAGTACTGCATTTCATTTCAACCCAAACTCCAAAAATAAAACAAATCCATCCAAGACTTCGATCGGTGTCCTTTAAATTTTCTTTTAGATAATTCCTCAGATGCAGCTTATAGACTACGGTATGCCTCCCAGCTCCTTACAGAATGAAATTGCGTCCTCTAAATGGTACGCTGCTCAGTCACTGGTATAAAAGGCAGACAGACTCGGGCTGCTTTCTTTCCATTTTGCAATTGGTAGGGACGAAAAGGGCTCTTTAGACATTGTTGAGGGAAGACACAGATAGAAACTCAGGATTTCAGTCACCTTTCACTCCTGTTTTATCCTGCTCTCTGACCTGTGCCCAGTTCTCTGAATTTTTTTTTTTTTTTTAACAGAGAGCAGGTATTTTCACTTGACTCTCATGTCAAGAGCTATGAAAATATTTTAGAGTTTTGACAGATGTTATCAACTTTGGTTTTTCTAACTAGCAGCCCCGAATAAACTCTGCCCTGGGGATGACTGACCTTAAGTCTGCCAGTTGGGTTTGATCAATGGTTGCCATCACTTTCCAGAAAGACACATTTTAAAACATCACATGATATGACTGTCACTTGTAGTTGGACACCCCTCAGTATCCATCCATGGTCCTTACAGATTTTTTCTAAACACTTTGAAATACTTTCCAAATACTTTGAACGGTATCTATACACAGTTTTAAACACTGTTTTATATGATTGTACAGAATTATATATATATGTATATATATATAAACTATATACACATATATGTGTGTATATATATAAAACCTTTGCAATACCTTTATGTTTGTTACCCTTTCCTTTCTTTTTAATTTCTCTCTTTTTAAAATTCTAGCATAGGTAACGTACAGTGTGATATTAGTTTCAGGAGTACAAGAGAGTATTCAACACTTCCATACATTAGCCGGTCCTCGTCACAACAAATGCCCTTCTTAACCCCCATCATCTATTTATTTATTTTCCCCATCCTCCCCCGCCCCCTGCCCACCTCCCTTCTGTTAACCATTAAGTTCTCTATAGTTAAGAGTTTGTTTCTTGGTTTCCCTCTCTCTCTCTCTCCCTCCCTCTCTCTCTCTCTCTCTCTCTCTCTCTCTCTCTCTCTCTCTCTCTTTTTTCCCCCCTTTGGTCATTTGTTTCTTAAATGCCACATATGAGTAAAATCATATGGTATTTGTCTTTATCTGACTGACTGATTTCTCTTAGTATTATATTCTCCAGCTCCATCCATGTTGTTGCAAAGGGCAAGATATCATTCCTTTTAACAGTTGATAAATATTTTTTATTTTTATCAAAAAGGGCAAAACAAATTATGTTCCCTCAGTACGTTTGGTCTTTCCTCTCAACCTTACAAATCAGATTCTGATTCTCACTGAACTGAGTGCGATCCAGACAAAAGGTTTGTTACTATTTGCTACTTTATTAAATGCTTCATCATGAGGTCTTCATGTGTTTTCCGACCACTAAATTTCACCAGAGCAAACCCACAATTTACTTCAAAACCATCACAAGAGTTTGCTGGCCTTGACCTCTTGATCATTTGTTTGAGATTTTTATACTAACCACACATTTCTGGGTAAGTGAGCACACATATCCATGCATTTCTGCAATATGATGGTAAAAGTCTTGGTCAAGTTGTTTTCAGAGGGGGTGGGGAAGCTGTATTTTTAGTATTCAAGTGACCCCTGGGTCCTGGGTAAAATGCAGATTGCAAAAAAGAAGACATGACCAATCCTGGAACTTTGGCCTTTGGCCCAGAAATATATCTTGATGGGTCTCTGGCCGAATTTCCACAGCAATTCTTAGCACAATAAAACTGACAACCACGAGCTTTTCTCAAATGTTTACACTGTAGTTTCTTAACAACATGTGAACACAATTGAAGCATTTAGAAATAATCTTTGGATTCTCGAAATTCGCAAACATTGGTCTGACCTTGAAGAAAGGGGTAGACAAGGAATTTGGAATTCCTAGCCTGGAATAACTGAATTAAGTGAGAATAAGGTATGTGAAAATGCTCGGTAACTTGTAACTGTCATGCTCATGTCAGTCATTGGTTTTTTTAGTTTGGTAATCTTCTTTTGTTTCCCCGATAGATGGTTCAAGTCAGGTCAGTGCTATTTGGTTTAAGTATGTACAATAACGAAACATAAACCGAATCGGTTTCGGGGTAACTGAGTCTGTTCTTGTTCCTATACATGTACAGTTATCTATCCATTGGTTCTGTCTGTACAGCGTTTCTTTTACCCCTACCTTTGGGAAAGTGGTATTTTTTTTTTTTTCCTTTCAAGAATCTTGGCCTCATCTGAGTCCATGCTCTTTTGAGTGGGGCTGACCCTAATGTCCCACTCCAGAGAGGCTAGCTATCTTACTTTGACGTAGTGAATTGTAATTCACTACAGTTAGTCCGTGGGTGGGCATGTGAATAATGCTTGTTTCACTATCATCGTCTATGAGAATTTTGCTAGAACCACTGGGAGGAGTAGTCTTAGAGCTTCTAGTAAGTTGTGTGTTCTGTCCTGCGGGGAAACCTGCCTGAGAATGCAGTCTGCATGGAGAAAAGGGACACATTCCCGGTAACAGAGATCAAGACCCTGCATCTACCCATGCTCAGAGTCTGTTCCATTAAGCTTCCAACTCTGTGATGTAATGTACATGGCCTCCTCTGTGTTCGTTGTTAGTTTCAGGGAAGTTTCTGTTCCTGGCAACTGAATGTTCTGGTTTACTCCCACTCTGCCATTCCCTGACCTTCTAATTCATTGTGTTACCTTGAGTTTGCCACCTAACTTCTCAGATTTAAATTTTTCATCTGTGAAAGTAAATTGTATTATTTAGAATTTAAGCACAAAGCAGGTGGCACAATGAAATTAGGGTATTTCAAGGAGTGCTTGTATATAAAGGTATGGAAACTGGGTAGTGTTGGATGAGTAGCATAGATTCAAAGAGATGGGAGCAGGGAGCATATCTGGAAACTGAACAGAGAGAGTCTTGCAGAGAAGTAGTGACTTGTATCTGGGGTAAACTTAGCAGGGAGAGCTGTGGGGATATACCCACTGGCCCCATTCTCGTTCCTTTCACCCATCTCTTACCATGGCTTCCCTTTTGCTGACCTCAACAGGAATGGACGGGGGCCTGCTGATGTGGTCCGTGGAGGTAGGGAACAGGGAGAGAAGGGTGGAGAGTGGATTTGGATGGGCAAATAGAAGGATCTTCAGCTTGTCTTCTGGTTCTAAAATTAAAGGAGTATAATTGAAGGAATAAGGCAACTTTGGGATCAGTTTGGATTTACGTTCAATGTATGTGTGAGAAAAGAGAAAAAAAATCTTAAGTTTGTCCATTAAGTACACAAATAGTTTGGTCAGTGCCATTGCGTTGTCTCTAATGACATGGGGGCAAAAGGGATAATTTACTAGTTAAATTAGATAATGCATTTATTCCAACTGTTCTTAATCGTTTCTTCCTTTCCTTTCTTCTCTTTCCCTTTCCCTTCCCCCTCTCCTTCCTTCCTTCCTTCCTTCCTTCCTTTCTTTCTTTCTTTCTTTCTTTCTTCTTTCTTTCTCTCTCTCTCTCTTTCTCTCTCTCTCTCTTTCTTTCTTTCTTTCTCTTTCTTTTTTCTCTTTTCTTTTCTTTTCTTTTTTCTTTTCTTTTCTTCTTTCACACAGACAGCATGAGCAGGGGACGTTCAGCGAAAGAAGGAGAGAGAGAATCCCAAGCAAGCTCCACATTGTCAGTGTAGAGTCCGAAGTAGGCTTTAAACTCCCAGACCATGAGATCATGACCTGAGCCAAAATCAAGAGTTGGATGCTTAACCAACTGAGCTGCCCAGGCTCCCCTTAAATGTTCCTTTCAGTAATTAGAGTAGAACTGTACCTGAGTGTCAGTTTTGAAAATGGATAAAAAAGTAACTTATCTTAATTACATGTGCTTGATAAAAAAGCAAAAAAAAAAAAAAATAGACAAAAACATATATTTTTACAAAGGCAGGCCTGGTGTTTGATCTGGTTTCTTGAGAGAAGAGACAGCAATTTGTTTCGGTGCTGGAACAGAAGATGAGTGTGTGAGGCTTATTGCAAGACACTCAAGTATGTACTAAACCGCATATATCGTTCTTTGTGGGCGATCTGAAGAATGTTCAAGAGTAACTTTCTCTGAGATGTTTTTTCCCCACTGATTTAATTGCTGAGTAAGCTGCAGCTCGACCATATGGCACAGTAGATTGCTCAGGGAGAAAATAATAATTTTGCATAGTGGCATACAGGTCATATACATTGAGAAAATGCCTGTTCAATTCCTGATCTTCTATTAGAACTGTATCCTTATAAATATGAAGTATGAATGTTTGCATGTCCACATGTAGTGTAGCAAGGCCACACTACTCCTCAGTGGTTATGTTGGTCTATCTCTGGTTAAAGAACTAGGACAGGGTCCTGCTGCCTTGGGATCCTCCCGCTGGGCCCTGCCCTCCGCGGAGGTCAACCGATGGCCGGTGACTGCAATGCCTTCTCAGGCTGCATGAACCCTGTACCTTGTGCATGGGTCTAACTACCGTTCCCCAGCCCTCCAGAACTTTGCCTTGGCCACTGTCCGGGAGGGTGGCGAACTGTGCAGCGTCTGAAGATTTTATTCAATCCAAAGGGTTACACCTTGAGGTTTTAACCCATAGCAGCAAAACGGGCTTCTGAAAAAGAATTGGAAACTCAAGGCCTCGATTGTCTTCGGAAATTTAAATTGGAAA